CTCATACATGTATTTTGTTTTGCAATAAATGGACCAACAATACTCAATAAGTAATCAAAATCAGAAGATGACATACGTAAAAATTGTTTGTACACGGCAAGTTCAGCAATTTTTAATTCTAAATTAATTTTTTCATAAAATCCACGCTTTGGCTTTTTAAAAAAAAAGGTTTCGTCCAGTCAGTTCGTTTATTTTTCCTTTTATTTTGTTCTTCCTTTTTTTTATTCTTCTTCTAATAATAAATAAACAACAATTGCAGCTGCTGCTCTGGTTTGAACGGGCATGGTACCTATTGTTCACGGACTTTTTATTAAATATATACTTAATTTAAATTTTTAATATATATAGAAAATTGTATAATCATTCAGTAGTCATTATCACTAATTGTCAAATACAACTCTAGACAGATAAACGAAAAAATGTCAGGTGTAAACACGTCACAGAGTTTAGGACAGAGTACATTACCAAAGTTCTCTGGCAATGCAATTGTCAGTGAAAAAGTGACATATTTATGTACGTGTAAAGTGTGTGACAGATTTTAACTAGCTCTACAATCAGAGCTTTGGCAAAAAAACTCTAGCGTGTGTGAAGGACTTTAGGGTGAAAAATATCAGTTTTCGTAAAATAATTCACGTACATGAATAATATCATTGATATTAATAATCCGAACATTTGCAATTGCGAGAGACCGTACAGTTATCAGATAATGAAACAAAATCAGATAGTCCGCGTAACTCGAATTTATAGTAATAATAATAATAATAATAATAATAATAAATTACTATCGCTGTACGTTCGATACGCGCAGAACACCCCGGATAAATATCGTATCCTGCCGATTACTTACATTCCCTCAGCCCTACTGTGATATCAATATGTCTGGGTGTATTATATTAAATCGTTTTTCCGCTTTCTAATAACAAAACGTGTAACGCGTGACGTTAACGTTTCGAAGTGCGCGCAATTCGTTCAAATAATTCAAATACGATCGCAATCGTCGTAGACGTCCGCAAAAAACGGAAAGCCATCTATATATAAATGAGATACATGTATGGTAAGTTGTAATACTGTGTAAGTAAATACAAATAAATAGCATTAGAATATACGATGATTGTGTGAATTTTCTACTCACTATTTTGAAGTTTAGGATTAGTAATAGTCTTGATAAAATAAATACTTATTTAATCAATGGTAATTGCTTTTATCTATAATAATAAAATATCGAACGTAATACAGCTAAAAATATCATATAATAATAAATATTTTAATTGTTTTAATTTTTTTTTTAATTGAAAGTTGCCCCTTCCCTAAGTTCAGTTTTAGGTATTATCTATTTATCGATATACGTGCGAAAGATCCGAACAACTGCAAGCATAGCAAAACTTATAGCAAACCAACGTGTCGGGATTAGACTGTATTGTCGATTTTTATTAAAGAATTACATGATTTGAATTGCGTGACCGTTTCGCCAAAAAACACACAGGTGTCCACGTACGTTCCTTAAATAGCGTTACAGCGCTGATTTTTCTTAGGGGCACGTACCGAGAGTAGGACGATTCGAGTTTACCTCATGAAGCTGCCGAGAAATTAATTATGTCGTGTCCGTTATTGTTCGTTATCATACACGCGGATCGTGTGGTATATGGAAGCACGAACGAAATTTAACCGATAAACGTGAAAATCAATCGAAAAATAATATTACGGTATGGTATTGGTCCCGCGCTGTTCTCGCGGGATAATCAACTCGACCGGCCAACAATACCTGTAGAAGAGATGAGAGCTGTCGCCGACCAGGACGCGTCTGTCTCTGAAAAGCTGACCGTAAACTTGAGAACAAACTTCCACACTGGAACCATCCCATCCACCTCTTCATATATATATATATATATATTTTAAAGTGTTCACCGAGGACCGACCGGATAACGAAAATACAATGATTCTTAATGCGTTAAAACGACCAACCTAACCACTGTTGTACCGCTATTATTCGCTATTGTCGTGAAATTGTAAGCCCGTACGACGTACTATTATGTTTGAAGATAAACAAATAGAGAGAAGAAAAAGAAAACGATTGATCGACATCGTAATATAGATTTATAATTTATATACGGGGGCGTGCTTGGAATTATTTTTTTTAGGAGAATTCAATATTTTTACTGCTTAGGAAAAAAGCTAACTAATTCGTTAAAATTTCGAGGATAAGGGATTGAACCCCAAATCACCCCCAGTATACCACTGTGTATGTGTGTGTGTGTGTGTGTGTGTGTAAATCATATTAAAACCACTCGCGGTGCGGCCGACGGAGAAACGGCGAACGGTGTGCGCCAGTGTTAATAAATTAATTGCATTATTTTACTCGGTATTTAAGATCAACACGTACGAACAGTATGAATTATTATTAGTTTTTATTATCGTATAATGATGTGCATCATACGACTGTAAAATACTGCACAAATATTTTATAATTATGTACAGTAATCCCTTGTTATCCGCGAAAGTTACGTTCCAGCAAACCTGCGCGGATAGCGAATCCGCGGATAACGAGACCATAAATCAATGTAAAAAGGGAAGTTAGATTTAATTTTTTTTAATTTTAAAAATTAATCATTAATCAATTAATAATTTATTTATTATCTATCGTATTGTTTCTTAATTTTTACGTATTTCTCGAACACGAGGTTCATTCATTTCGTACGTTCTAGCAAGTGACGCTACAGTATCACCACTTTAATTCGTCTAAAATTTCAATTTTTTTAACGAGTAATAAAACATTTCTTCTCCTTTTTATTGACATTTTACATTGAGAAGCCATTTAAAAATATTTTCACTACTAAATTTATTAAACACTGCTGTACACGTGTCACGCACAAATATCATCTTACAACTGAGAAATTGACGATTATTAATCGTGCAGGTGTATGTAACCTTTTGTGTTTTATCTGCAATAAGTATAAGTATGTATAATATATATGTGTTATATCTATAGCGATATAACAACAATTACCTAAAATTACTGTCAAAAATAAATTTCTACAGTGTTCGTATAATAACGGTAAAACTTTATCGCAATCGCATTAAAAATATGTTATCGTGGACCCAACCGCGGATAATTGAAACCACGGATAAAAAAAACACGGATAACGAGGGATTACTGTATACCATATGATCTCAAACTATTTTAGAAGATAATAAATTACGTCTCTTTTGATATCCGCATAAATTACACAAATCAAACAATAAAGGCCTAACCCTACAATACTCAGAGGCGTATTTAGACTTACTTCTAGAGGGGGGGGGCAACTCAAATTTTTTCTTTAATTCAGGTTCAAAATTTACAATTAAAATGTTTGGTAATATTTATATCAGGTGAATCCTTAATATTTGTGTTTTTTTTTTCTTAATCTAACTTCGGATCCACTTAGAATGGTATTTAGTGTAGTTTTTTTTAATACCTATCTGTGTTTTGAAAGTTTCGCTTGTGTTTTATTTAATTTTTCATTGAGTATGGACTGGGTCTTCAATCAAAATAATATATATTATTTATCGTTATGGGACATATAAACGTTATAAGCAATTGAGTGTTTAACGCTATAAATAATTTAAACGTTATTCAATTTAAGCGTTTAAACGTTCAAAAAATTTTCCGTTTACCGTTATCGACAACTAATACGTCATGAAAAATTTAGCGTTTTGCGTTATTTAAATTAAGGTAAAATTTGAAACGTTTTCAAATGTAATAATACCATTAAATAAATCATAATCTTTGTTTCTTAATAAAATACCCATTACTTATATAAAAATTGTCTTGGTCTAAAAATTCTTGGGGGGATATTGCCCCCCTCTCCCCCCTCTCAAATACACTACTGAAAATACTCTATTGACATCATAAGTCATATTTTGAAACGATCAGTTCAAGGTTCATCCGACCATACCCTTATATAACAGGTACACATTACCTTTTTCCAGGCTCTTGATTTTAGGCCGATAGTGCGTGCGCACGGACCGTCAGATGAGTCTCCTGCGACAAGTGACCGGTACGAGTATTTAACTTTGATAATTGATTTGTTTCATTTGAGTTTTCTGTGCGAGTGTTGAGAAGTGTCCAACTGCAACACATATCAATCCTGTGTTTGTCTCATTTCAACCTAATTGCACTCCTGTGACAGTCAAAAGTGCACAGCTCGTCGACATTCGAATAACTGCTACAATACAAGTAAGTGCTATTTTTATTTGGATTGCCAGACTATCTAGTTGCTTTGTACGGCTCTAGAACCTTTGTAACCCCGAAAGCCCTCTCATAAATAAGAAGGAAGTTAATCAACCAATAATACATTATACATAAATAAATACTATACACCATAGCCTTCCATCCCTTTAAAATGATTTTCCTTTTATTTGTACTTTTTTATTTTCGGGTTATTACACTCGTTTTCTTATCTTCGTATACGTATTAATAAGTGACTGACAAATCCGTCTCGACTTGTGCACTCGTTTATTTGCACAGCGCCTTTATTATAATTTATTGACACTATAAAATACATACGATTTGTATATTATGGAAGTATGTAACTTCATAGCTTTCATATAGTTTCGACGGGCGAAATTTTTTATGTGTAATATATAATGTGTCAACTCTCCTGACACTATTGAAACCTTCCGTGATCGTTCGATCCAATTATTTTTTCAGTTTACAGTTTTAATTTCCGTTATAATAATAAAAAAAACATTTACAGCGACTGTTGATTAGTAATGTTTCATTAATTTAAATGAGCCAGCGTTGCAGGTAGATTATCTACAGATATTATTGTTTATTAGCTATGTCATGTAAAGTTCTTAGTTACAAATATTCATAAAAAAATAAATATATTTTATGTTGATAAAAAATATTAAAAGAAATATTCAATATTGCACGTATAATTGTGTTATTAAATTTTTAAAATCTTCGTACAATTAAAAATAAAATTTAGTTAATTAACGTGGTCGTGTTAAAAAAAACTTACGTTATTGAATGTGGTCATGGTTTTTGTTACGTGATGTATTTTTTTTTTTTTTTTTTTGCTAAAAACACTGATAGGATAAAATTAAAATTACAAGTTATACTCGGTAGATACGACGAATGCCATTCAAACCGCGGACGAAACCGAATTTCGAAATAAACACTTCGTAGCGGAGATCGACACACTTAACGCAAAGAGGGACAAACTTTAAACTATTGCAAACGGTTGTTTCAAGTCGGTGAATTCATACAGTACTAAGGGCTTGTATAGCAGTGAACGCCACCGACACCGCCGCATTCGTGGTCCAATCGTTCGGATTGCGGTCACCATGGTAACGTCATCGCCACAGTTGCCTCCGTTTTCGTAGTCACCGGTAAAACGGTATTTGCACTACAGCCACCGGTATGGACAAATAGTGATTGTTAACACATCTCTATTACCACATTAAATTACTCATTCACAGGCGTGGATAAAAGATTTCCGAGCTCTGCACCGATCAAACGATAGAGTGTTACTTAAGTTGTGTGACAACGGTGTACGGTACACGAGTGACTGGTCACAAGTAGACGAGCGATAACAAATACTTGACAAAAAAATAATTGTGGACAATGCAATACGTGCCGAAATTATTAAAAATAAATAAGGAAATTGTATAGTGCCTTTAATATACTCGAGTTGATGTCATTCTAGGCTCTACGAATATGTATAAGTCATGAGATGAAAAAAAAAATTATTATTAATAATAATAATTAATTTGGTTAGAATAAAAAAAAAGTTGACTAATAAGTATAAAAAGAATACATTTTTATTCAAATAAAAAGTAAATACAATAGTAAAAAGCAAAATATGTTTAATAAAAAAGAACATAAAAAAATGTTCACAAAGTATTATTTTAAATTAACATATTATACACTATTACATAGTGGTAACGATAGATGGTAACAATCTTTAATTAAAAAAAAAAAAAATACATTTGAGCAATTACTAAAATTAGTTATACATTTAATAATCAAAACTTCTATACAAAATTATCAATTAACACGGTTTAAGTGGAACGTTTCTTCTGGTTGGCTGATTGGTTTTGTAGCTCAAATAGGACATCATCACTCAAACTGTCCAATGCATCCAAATTTTCATTACCAATTTCATTTTTCAACTCTGATTTCAATTGGTCAATTCCAGATTTAACATCACGTCTTTGCACATTAAAACTGTTCAAAGCTATAAAAGATTAAAATATAATAAGTCATAGGAAAAATAATAATAATAGTAAAATATAAATTAACAATTTAAATAAGTAAAGAGTTATGAAGAAAACATTTTAAATTATTTTCAAATTAGTTTAAAATCTCAAAAGCATAATAAATTATTATAATACATTCCTAAATTTAATGATGTTTTATATAAAAGTCTCATTAGCGAATTTAGCATTACCTTGATTAAAAATATCCAACTGCTGTTGACCCTCAACACTATCATATGGTGTTATATAAGATGGATACTGGGTCGTAACATCGAGTGTTAATTGATTGTCTCCGTTTTGATTTATTGACTCAAAGGGAGGCAAATAAGTAGGTGGCTGTTGAGTTGAAGATGGAAACTGTGGGCATCTTGGATCAGGTGACCCAAGATAACATACCGGTAGATTTTGTGAAGGACAACGGGGATCAGTTGATCCCGGGAAACATAATGGTGGTATAATAGGCTTCGTAGTAGAATTATTACAAACACAAACAAAAGGTGTTTCAATAGGTTGGATTTGTGGACATCTTGGATCAGTAGAACCAGGATAACAGATAAGTGGCGATGATGTTGAAGATCCAGGGTATGATGTAGATGCTGGTGGAGGTTTTGGACATCTAGGGTCAGTTGATCCCGGATAACACACTGGAGGTGCAGGTGTTGATGGATATGAAGTTGGTGGTGGTGATGGTTTTGGGCATCTAGGATCATTAGATCCTGGGTAACA